AACTATGCCTTTAAAGTGCCCGTATTTTGCTGTTTAAACTTGTAGCTTTATTCCTATATGTAATGTAGTTGTTAGTGAATGTAAACGTCAACAAAGTTTAAAGTACCTGTTTATTAACTGTTATTACTTTACCTACTCTTTGGGATCTCTTTTTGCTACTTCCCTTTCAAACTTCCCTGTAGAAAAAAGGGGAACATAACATGTGGGGGCTCGTCCGGGATATTAATATTATATATTATTACATAAATGTTTTTTTTTTCAACTAAAGATTTAAATAGCTACCAGTTTCCAACATTCCTTGAAAAATCTTATTTTGTGTTTAGAAAAACATTTGTGATTTAGTAAATTCTAACTAAATGTTAATTTTTGGGTGAAGTATCCCTTTAAAGTGCCCTTATTTTGCTTTTTGAACTAGTAGCTCTAATGCTCTACGTAATGTAGTTGTTTGTAATTGTAAACATGAGCAAAGTTCAACATTTTCAGGATTAACTGAGTGAATCAACTTCCTGAAATGAGCCCACAGTAATTCTAAATCTACACAGATCTGTAACAAATTAGCATAATGCTACTGTCATACAGCCTTGGGTAGTTGCATGTAAACCTATTGTATATGGGGAAACCTCAAAGACAAAATAAGAACCCTTTAAATAGAAACACTTTCAACTCCAGGGTGTGTTTGCAGTGTGTTTTGGTGCGAGGTCTTCCTTTCTAACCTGGATATACCAATTTGAGGAAAATGCCAAATTGTCACTGATTCAATGGACCATAAATCTCCAAGATGAGAAGATGAACAGAGCCACGCGGCAGTAATTGATGGGTTTGGCAGAGTCCGTTTGAGATTTACTTGCGCGCACATGCCGAGTAAGCATGCTGTCCCGCTGCGAGCCTAATGCAACATTTACACAGGCTGTACGGTTCACATGCTCATCCTTTCTGATCAATATGAAAATACATGCTACAGCGAGACGCTGGTTAAAGTAATAACTGAAGCGTGAAGAGCGCTGTTTGCATATGTAGAAGCCAAGAACACTGTGCACTGGGTATTGTTGGAAAGAGCAGCCAAACACTCTTCGATTCTCTTGTGCAAAGCTCTAGTTTCTCTTTGTAACACTTTAACATATTAGTGCTCATTTTACCAGGCCACGCTCACTGTTAGAGATGCCATATTTAATGTGATGTAAATGAAAGGAAGGGCCAATTACAAAGAAGCTGACATGTTTAAAGGGATAGTTAAAATGACCTCACCATTTACTTACCTATGTGGTTTTAAACCTAAAATTAACAGTTACTACAGTCATCAGTCACATGATCATGTTGATATTAGAGTTGTGTTGAATTGCTGCTAATGAAACTTTTCTTAAAGGGATAGTTCACCCAAAAATTTAAAAAGTTTGAGTGTCTTTCTTTTGTTTTGTGTTTTTGGAGTTTCTTTCTTCTGTTTGACACAAATGAAGATATTTTGAAGAATGCTGGTTGATGGTAGCCATTGACTCCCTTAGCATGGAATTATATGGGTACCATCAACCAGCATTCTTCAAAATATCTTCTCTTTCTGTGTTCAACAGAACAAGAAAACTCAAACAGGTTTTGAACAAGTGAAGTGTGATTAAATGATTACAGAGATTAGATTTTTTGGGTGAACTATTCTATTAAGAGTTGCATTTGATGAACAATTAAACCAAGGAAAATGGGCTATTTAAACCATCTTTTCAGCAATACTAAATTATATACGCTGTTTAGCTATAGTATATAGAAATCATTATTATAGATGGGGACATATCCGCCCCTACTATGTTCGCTTTGTTTGGTGCAGTAATCATAATTACACCGTAATATACACATTCCCGCAATCTTTCATGTAATTAGTATGGCTAACAGTAGCACTGTGCAATTACAGCTCCACAATATACAGTAATTACCTGAAGTGTATTAATATTACTTAGCACAAGTTCCCCAAAGGCCTGTAGCTCACATATAGCATATACATTGTGACTTAGTTCTGTGTGATATGGTGGCTTGAAACATCACTTAAAGGTTTTATATTGGCATTGGTGGTTTTATGAAGAACATTTGACTATTGCGGGATGATAACCGGTTTCAAGGTTTACCATGGTTTGGAAAAGTCAAGGTTTTAACAATATACCTACAATATTCCTACAATATACAGTTGAAGTCAGACTTATTTTTTTGCTTTTTTAAATATTTCCCAAATTATGTTTAACAGAGCAAGGAAATGTTCACAGTATGTCTGATAATATTTTACCTCTGGAGAAAGTCTTATTTGTTTTATTTTGGCTAGAATAAAAGCAGTTTTTAATTTTTAAAAAATCATTTTAAGGTCAAAATTATTAGCCCCTTTAAGCTATATGTTTTTTCGATAGTCTACAGAACAAACCATCGTTATGCAATAACTTGCCTAATTACCCTAACCTGCCTAGTTACCCTATTAACCTAGTTAAGCCTTGAAATCTCACTTTAAGCTGTATAGAAGTGTCTTAAAAAATATCTTGTAAAGCAATATTTTCTGTCATCATGGAAAACATAAAAGAAATCAGTTATTAGAGGTGAGATATTAAAACTATTATGTTTAGAAATGTGTTGAAAAAAAACAGAAATTGGGGAAAAAAATAAACAGGGTGGCTAATAATTCTGACTTTAACTGTATATTTATGAAAGTGTGTGTGTGTGTGTGTGTGTGTGCGTGTGCGTGTGCGTGTGCGTGTGTGTGTGTTTGTGTTTGCTACTATTTTGTTTAGTTTTTTTATGGCAACAGTATCTCCAAAAGAAAACAACCATCCACATCAAAAGCTACTGGTCAACCAATGGAAAACTAATAGCTTATGCATCAACATCCAGCATGCTATTGACCTGAAAAGCGCAGTAGCTTACTTTATATCCAATATATATATATATATATATATATATATATATATATATATATATATATATATATATATATATATATATATATATATATATATATATATATATCCAAAGATATTATAAAGAAATCTCTGTTTTTAAAACTAATGAAAACATCAGAAGTTAATTATTTACTTTAATTATTAAGCCTGACATGTTTACTGTTGCAAAATATGTGATTTTTTCTTAAAATAAAATATATTGTGTTCACTGGGGAAAAGTGTGTTGTTTTTTACCCAAACATTTTAAAATGATTTATTTTAGAGCAGTACTTACAATACTGTGGTACCGTGAAACCGTGATGTTTTTAACCAAGGTTGTCATGCAGTCAGAATCTCATTCCGGCCTATATCTACATTTGACATTAATTTAAATAAAAAGTTATTTTGCAACAAAAACAAGACATATTAAAAAAAACTGTTTATTGAAAAGCCTTATTAAAACCTTTATTTTTAAAAGATAGTAAATACGAATACATGCACTGAAATGCAACATAAGATTCTCATATATATATATACACTAGGCATAGGCTGGTATAAGTTTCTAACAGTATGATAACCTTGGATAAAAATACCACGGTTCCATGGTATTGTGATTATTGCTCTAAAATATATTCATTTTGAATGTCTGGGTAAAAAACTAAAAGCTTTTTTCCGCTTTGAACACAATGGCTGCCTCCGAAATAATTCCATACTGTATAGTACGCTAAAAACAGTATGCGAGCCCAGTAGTATGTCCGAATTCATAGAATTTTAAAAACAGTATGTGAGAAGTACTCAGATGACCTACTACTTCCGGCGAGACTCTGAATGCTACGATATCCCATGATGCACCACGGGAGAATTCTTAAATAGGAGAGAAGCGATGCAACTGACACGGGTGGGTCATGTGATGATGACAAAATGGCATCCATAGTACGTCCAAGCTCAATTTAAACTACTCACATTCATACTGTGTAGAACATATCTTCTAGCGGTCAAGTAGTACATTCAAATTTAGATGCTGTACCTGCTGAGTAGTTGGTGATTTCAGATGCAACTAATATAATTTATTTTGAGAAATGTTTTAAATACTTTGGAGCAATAAACATGTCAAGCTAAATAGTTCAAATGAATCACTGACTTCTGCTGTGTTCATTAGTTTCAAAATCACAGATTTCTTTACAAATAAAAACACCACCTTTGGATATCTTTTCTGCTGAAGATACTATTGTCCTAAAATCAAAAAAACAAAAATAAAATAAGCATTTAAAAAATCTTACACATACCATAGGAACAGTATAGCAGAAAAATGTGGTGGTTTTAAAACCTTGACTTTTCCAAACCGCGGTATACCTTAAAACGGTTCACTTGCCATCACTTGCCTAATATAATGTATAATTCTTTATACATGATGTATTTTCCATAATCTAACTGACTCCAAACACAAGCAACATGACTGCATTGAACATCATGTATATATATATATTTTTTAAAGTGCATCCTTGCTTTGTGTTAATAGCCATCTTTTGGATGAGGTTTGGTTTAGAAGTATATTAAAAGCTTAGTTTTACTGTTGTCATTTTTCAGACAGCACTGAGGTCTTACGGACCCCAAACAGAGAATGCAGAGCAAACATAAACAGTACACGAGGAGTAAATACACACACAAACAAAAATGACTTGTGCTGCATGTTCTAAAACTACTTACTAAAATTAGTTATAACAACACAATTTTAACACTGTTTATGCAACGTTAACTTAATTATTTTATGTTCAATCCAATCTTAAATGTGTTAAGTTAACTTAATCCATTTGTGTCGGGATAACATGAAGGAATTGTGTGGAACCCAACATTTTTATAAGTGTACATTGAATGTATACGATAACTGATGTTTTCTTTAATTCATCAGGTTTAAAAACCCGCGAATCGTGCGCTTTTCTCGCAACTTGCACGCGCGCAGGTTGTTTCTCGTAATGAGTGGACTCTTCATATCTCCGAACTCCCATAAATCCCGTTCGCCCGTTAATCTGGCTAATTCACCGCAGTCTGATCTGTGTTAGATGTGAGTGTGGGAGGTAAAGATGGCGATAGACCTACTTGCGTGAGTTCCGTGCCCATCAGCACCAGCACGATGAGACTCAAGAGCTTGTGCACGCGCTGCATCTCGCGCTGCCGCTCGCTCGGGCATGCAGATTCGGTCCGGTGCCTCGGTCAGAGCCGCTCGTCGGTGCTCGGTGCTCACTCCTCGCTCTCCTCTGTCCCCGGTATCTCTCTCTCTCTAGCTCTCCCTCTCGTTTCTCTCTCCTCTCAGCAACGGAATGACAGAGAAACACAAGTCGGTCTCGCGCAGCCTTCTCTGGGCATCTCGCGCGCGGTGCCTCGTCGCGGTTTCTCCCGTGTGTCTCTCCGCCTCCCGACGTCTCCCGTCCCCGTTAGATGAGCGTCACGCAGGGAGGTCTGGTTTTGCCCCCAAAACTTTGTGCGTTTCTCGATGTGTGAGGCTGAAGAGATTGGGGGAGCGAGAGCTGTCCGAGGTGCTGAAACCGGATGTGACATGCGGCGCGCGTGGGTAATTCAACGGGGATGCGCGCGAGGAGAAAGAGCGCGCGGAGCTAATTGGTTGGGTCTGTTTGACTACAAGTGTGAGAGGGTTTTATTGTTATGCTAACAGTGAAATGTAGTCTAACATATTTTCACAGTGTACAGTTTACAATACGGGACACTTGGGTAATTTATTCGCTTACATGAACTAATAACTAACAATACTTGTACTGCTTTTATTAATAATAGTTCAATATTTACTAATGCGTTAATAACCTCCAAATTTATGATCGTTAACCTTAGTTATTGTATGAACTGACAATCAACAACTGTATTTTCATAACTAACATGAAATACTGTAATAAATGTGTCGTTTATTGTTTGTTCATAGTAAATGCATTACCAAACATTAACTATTCATTCATCATTCATTTTCCTTCATCCTAGTCTCTTTCAGAGGTCGCCACAGCGGAATGAACCGCCAACCATTCCAGCATATGTTTTACACAGCGGATGCCCTTCCAGCCACAACCCATTACTGGGAAACACCCTCATTCACACACACACTCATACACTATGGCCAATTTAGTTTATTAAATTCACCCATAGCGCATGTCTTTGGACTGTGGGGGAAACTGGAGCAGCCGGAGGAAACCCACACCAACACAGGCATGCAAACTCCACACAGAAATGCCAGCAAACGCAGCCGAGGCTCAAACCAGCAACCTTCTTGCTGTGCAGTGTCAGACTACAACTATTGAAATCAAATTCCTTGTTTGTTAGCATTAGTTAGGCTAATGCACTGTAAGTTAGCATGAACTACAAATTAACAACTGTATTTTAATGAACTAACGTTAAATTGAGAGTTCACCAACGAACAAAAAATAAAAACTCTCCCTTAAGTGCTTATAAACCCTTATTATTATTATTTTTTCTGTTAAAGCCAAAGAAGATTTGTTTTAAAGACATCTGAAAGCCTGTAACCATTGAATTCCATAGCAGAAAAAAACACTATGAAAGTGAATGGTTACAGGTGTTCAGCATTCTTCAAAATATCTTTTTTTTGTGTTCAACAGAAAGATAGACTGCTTTGGAATAAACGAAGGGCGGCTAAATGATTCATTTTTGGGTGAACTCTCACATTACAAACATATTTAACAAAGGGTCGTATATATTTTGCCCATGTTAGCAAATAAATACATGAACTTACATTAGTGTATTGTAAAGTGTGACCCATATTTCTACTTAATTTCTTAATTATTGTATTATTTTACTGTAAGTATTTCTTAATTACTGTCGACTTAATTCATTATTTTTCCTTTGACTTAGTGCCTTTATTCATCAGGGGTCACCACAACGGAATGAACCGCCAACTTATCCTGCATATGTTTTACACAGTGGATGCCCTTCCAGCCGCAACCTAGTACTGGGAAACGTTCATACACTCTCACATTCACACATATACACAGGCAATTGAGTTTATTCAATTCACCTATAGTGGCTTCCGTTACACACAAAATGCAATGGACTTCTTAAAAAATAGTTGTAAATAATACACTAAAACACTTTAGTATAGGTCAAAAGATTTTTACTATAAATTACTATAGTATTTTAGTTGAATTACTATAGCATGGGAGCGGTGCAGTCTTTGAAACAGTATAAATGTATGTAATCGATGCCTAATTGATTACATACATCAATGGGTGTTTAAACCTTTGAATCAAAAGCATTCACGTGGGTATAGGCAAAAATGAAGCTTCGGATTTCACTAATCACATGATTATGGCAAAACGAATCAAACTCCGGTACACTGCTTTACTCCAAGATGTATAATTTTTTTGATACATGCTTCGAAGCCTTGGTGCACAGCATCACATCATTGGTATATATGGTCTGTGTAATCAGTCTAGGATGAGCTTCCAGCTGTGTGTGTGCAATTATGGAGAGATTTGGATCTGGTGTGTGTGCGAGGTGCATGATGGGATTTGTGGTTCTCCAGTGATCTGCAACTGCTAGATCGCTGGTGATCGTGACAGTAATAACTCCTAATAAACGAATGCATTCATTTTATTAAGTAGTAATATAAATGAAAATCCTGACAGGATATTAATCATATGCACAGATATTTCTGTTTACAATAAAATAATGGATCAATTCAGTGATTCAAAAATAATTAAAATAAGGTATCATACCTTATTTGTACTCTTTTTTTTAACACTGCTGTGTATAACATTATTTAAGCTAAATATTTCTTAACAAGGTACTTTTTTTAAATGATAAAACATCAAGTTTAAAGGTTCCACTAAAAAACAAGTTCATTACAAGTCACTAAGCAAAAACTGAAACTGTAATTAATTTATGAGAAAGGATGGCGCAGCATATATCAGGATGTCACTTGAATCGATGTTTAATCTTTTTCCCAATAACATTATTTTTAAGAGTCCAAAATATTTTTGGGCAACTCTGTATATGTATGTGTGTGGAGAAAGTTGTGGTCAGTTAAGTTTGAAAGATTTATATTGTCAACAGCAGTATTATTCTAGTCCTATGCATTATTAATTGCTGTGTGGAAGCCATTATGGTGAATTTATGTGGCTTTATTTCACAGCAGAATGCAGGAGTAATGTCTTCGGCCTTATAAGATATTCAGACTAACAACCTTGTGGATAATATATTGAGGTGTTTAAAAATATAATAAAATATTAACATGATTCATATCGGAAGTGCAGAGCCTAATAAAATTATGAGAAGATTTAAAAAAAATAATAATTTCAGCATGAGCATTAATGATTCAGCTTACTTTTAAAAATAGTGTCAATGCATGTTAATACGATTGCTAATGGCGTGCAAAAGTTATGTGTTTGTGGGACCAAAAAAAGATAGTGATACATATGCTGATTTATTTATGGCATAAGAAAATAAAGTAACATGTAAGTTCATGTATTCATTCATTCATTTATTTTCTTTTTGGCTTAGTCCCTTTATTAATCCGGGGTCGCCACAGGGGAATGAACCGCCAACCTATCCAGCACGTTTTACACAGAGGATGCCCTTCCAGCCGCAGCCCATCTCTGGAAAACATCCACACACACACTTGTTCACACTTATACACTACGGACAATTTAGCCTACCCAATTCACCTGTACCACATGTCTTTGGACTGTGGGGGAAACCGGAGCACCCGGAGGAAACCCAGTCAAAAGCAGGAGGAACATGCGAGCTCCACACAGAAATGCCAAATGACCCAGCTGAGGCTCGATCCAGCAACCTATACACACACACGAACACACACACACACATACACACACACACACACACACACACACACACATACACACACACACACACATATATACTTGCACTCACCAACCTTTTATTACAGTAGGTACACCTGTCCAACTGCTCATTAAGGCAAATTTCTAATCAGCCAATCACATGACAGCAACTCACTGCATTTATGCATGTAAACATGGTCAAGACGATCTGCTGCAGTTCAAAGCGAGCATCAGAATGGGGACGAAAGGTGATTTAAGTGACTATGAATGTGGCATGGTTGTTGGTGCCAGATGGGCTGGTCTGAGTATTGCAGAAACTGCTGATCTACTGGGATTTTCAGGCACAACCATCTCTAGGGTTTACAGAGAATAGTAAGGTGTACCTAATAAAGTGGCCAGTGAGTATATATATATAGATAGATAGATAGATAGATAGATAGATAGATAGATAGATAGATAGATAGATAGATAGATAGATAGATAGATAGATAGATATGTGTGTATACACCTATATATACATATTTTAACCATTTATTATACCTAAAATATATAGTTTTTATATTTTTTAATTATCAAGAAGTTTAAGTTATATAGAACAAATATAAGCTGTTATATAGAACAAATATAAGCTGTTTGAATAATGTTTAAAATCATGAAAATAACTAAACTCATAAATAAATTAAATAAAAGCACTAAAATAAAATTAAAACAAATTATTTTAAGTATAAAGAATAGGATTCCCACGCAACTTGAAAGTACTTTTATTTCAGAAATACGGATTCAACGGCTCGAAAGTACTTAAAAAATAAACATAGGTCTTTGAAAGTGCTTGAAAGTAATTTAAAATAATTATGTATGTGTCATTTTAATAACTGTACTGTGCTGCGGCCAAAAACTTGACAGAAGTTTTGAAATTCTGAAATTTATTCCTCGTTTAAAAATCTTCAATTGAAATCTTACAAGAACTATGACAAATAATACACATTTTATCAATATTTCAGAAACCACATTTAAATATTACCATTCATTTATTCATTCATTTTTCTTTTGTGGCTTAGTCGCTTTAATAATCAGGGGTCACCACAACGGATTGAACCGCCAACTTATCCAGCATATGTTTTACGCAGCGGATGCCCTTCCAGCTCCAACCCAACACTGGGAAACTTTCATACACTCTTGCATTTACACTGATACACTACGGCCAACTTACCTTAATCAATTCATCTATAGCGCATGTCTTTGGACTGTGGGGGAAACCGGAGCACCTGGAGGAAACCCACGCCAAAACAGGAAGAACATGCAAACTCCACACAGAAATGCCAACTGACCCAACTGGGACTCAAACCAGCAACCTTCTTCCTGTGAGGCGATCATGCTACCCACTGCGCCACCATGTAAATAAATATTGAATAAATTACAAATATTACATAATATTAACAAATTGAATAAATTTACTTAAAGTTTTTTTTCATAAAGTGTTTTAAATGCTTTTGTATTTTAGAAAATGACACATTTAAAACAACCATTATTGTCGCATTTTTCAGGTAAATATTAAGTGTAAGTGAAATGTTGAGTACAGTATGGATTTTCATTGCGCTACATATGCTAGAGGTGTCATTTAAAATGAATGATACTTTAAAAAGTCCTTGAATCTAGACTGGGGAACCTGAAACAGGCCAGTTGGCGTTTCTGTGTGGAGTTTGCATGTTCTCCTCGTGTTGGTGTGGGTTT